AAGCAAAATGAAGTCTTTGACAACTTTAATCTTTTCTCCATTGATAAGAATGTTGTTTATTGGTCCAGTGGTGAGGATTTTTTGTTTTCTTTACGTAGAGAAGCAACCCATACAGAAGGCTGTACTCTTTGATCGTCATCAGAAAGTATTCGCTTTTAGTAAGCAAGGTTGTGTCATCTGTATATCACAGGTTGTTAGTGAGTCTTCCTCCAATCTTCATGCCACATTTTTCTTCATATAACCCAGATTCTCGGATTAATTGCTCAGCATACAGATTGAATAAATACGGTGAAAGAATACAACCCTGGCAAACACCTTTCCTAATTGTAAACCATTCAGTGTTCCCTGGTTCTGTTTGAACAACTGCCTCTTTGATATATGTATCGGTTCCTTATGAGCGCAGTTAAGTGTTCTGGAATACTCATACATTACAGTGTTGTCCATAGCTTGTCATGATCCACATAATCAAAAGCCTTTGTGTAATTGATAAAGCACAGGTAAACATCTTTCTGGTATTTTCTGCTTTCAGCCAAGATCCATCTGACATCAGCAATGATATCCCTTGTTACATGTCCTCTTCTGAATCTGGCTTGAACCTCTGGAAGTTCTCTATCAATGTATGTCTGCAGCTGTTTTTGTATTACTTTTAGAAAACTCTACTCGCATGGTAAAGTTCAGTGATTTCTGCATTCCATTGGATTCTCTCTCTTTGGAATGGGCACAGATATGGATCTCTTCCAGTCAGTTGGCCAGGTATTGTCTTCCAAATTTCTTGGCATAGATGAGTGAGTTCCTCCAGTACCTCCTCACTTTGTTGAAATTTTTCAATTTGTATTCCATCAATTACCAGTGCCTTGTTCTTTGCCAATTCCTTCAGTGCACCTTGGACTTTGTCCTTCAGGATCATTGGCACTTGATCACATATTACCTCTTGAAATGGCTGAACATCAACCATTTCTTTTCGTTACAGTGACTCTGTATATTCCGTGCATTTTCTTTTAATGTTTTCTACATCATTTGATTATTTTCCCAGAGAATCCTTCTGTATCGCAAGTCAAGGCTTGAATGTTTTCTTCAGTTCCTCCGGCTTGGGAAATGCTGAGCATGTGCTTCCCTTTTGGTTTTCTAACTCCAGGTCTTTGTACATTTCATAATACTTGACTCTCTTCTAGAACTGCCCTTTGAAATTTTCTGTTCAGCTCTTGTACTTCCTCACTTCTTCCATTTGCATCTCTACAATGGAGAACAAGTTTCAGTGTCTTTTGTCATCCATTTTGGTCGTTTCCTTCTTTCTTGTCTTCTTAATGATCTTTTGCTTTCTTCCTATATGATATTCTTGCTGTCATGCCACAACTCTTCTGGTCTTCGGTCTCTAGTGTCTAATGCATCAAATCTCTTCAGATGATCTCTAAATTCAGGTAGGATATATTCAAGGTCATATTTGGCTTGTTTTAATTTTCTTCAGATTTAGCCTGAATTTGCATATGAGCAATTGATGGTCTGGTCCACACTCTGTCCCTGGCATTGTTTTGGCTGATGATATTGAGCTTTTCCACTGTCTCTTCCCACAGACATAGTCAGTTTGATTTCTGTGTATTCCATCTGGTGTGGTCTATGTGTATAGGTGTCTTTTAAAACTTTTTTGAAACAACAAAGTACAGTTCATATTCACGTCCTCACTGCATCCCATACTAGTTTGTACTGTGCATATATTTTCATCCAGAATTCAAGATATGTTAATTTATTGCCAAAAATGTCTTAAATCTCCTGTACTTTAACCCATAACAGTTTTCCAGCTTTTGTTTGGTTGAGCTTTGTCTTTCGTGATACTAACATGTTGATGAGTCCAGACAGTTACTTGGCAGAAATTCCCTCCATTTGTGTTTGCATCCTGAGTAGGCTCAGGGGAGACTTTTTGGCAGGAGTAGACTCAGACTGTTGATTATATTCTCAGTGCTTCACATCAGTGGGCACCTATGTTAGTTTGTCCAGCCAGTTAGTGTTAAACGTTTATCACCTGGTTGAGCTGGTGGCTGCCAATATTTTTCCTATGTTATCTAGTTTTATAGAATCCATTGATATTTCTTGCAAGAATCAATTATTACTAAACCCTAAACAAAAAATACAGATTCTGACTCATACTGACCCTGTATAGGATTTCCAAAGAGCAGGGATTTGAACCCCTGACCTTGTTCCTAGCAGTCCAGTGCTTATGATACAGTGCCCCACCATGTATTTGCAAGCGTTAACCAGGTCTTAGATTTTGTAATTGTAACCTGCCTAAAATCAGATATGATATTCATAAACAGGAATTTCCATATTCAAATCATATACCAAAACACACTTACTACACACTAACGCTTTCAGTATCTGTGTGCTTTTTTTTGCCAAACTGGACAGATTGAAGGACATATGTACTATGTATGCCAATGTTAAGTAAGGTAAGGGTATTCAGGTATATAAGGTTCTTAGTTGTGTAGTTGAGAGTATGTGGTAGTTTTCATAGTACAATCATATTATACCCAAAGAAACGATTAGAATAAAAAAAAAAAGAAATGCTTAGAAAACTCCAGGCAACATTTGTAAGTGTTAGTGTGGTTGTTTCCAAGAATCAACAAACGAACTCTTTGTCGAGTTAATGGCTCTCCCCTAACACTGTATATATAGTTCTCTTTCTAAGGAACTCTGGTGGTACATTCATTAAATGTTTGGCTACTAACTGAAAGGTTGGCAGTTTGAACCCACCCAGCAGCCATTTTAGAGAAAAATCTGGCCATCTGTTTCCATTAGAGCTTAGAGATCCGTAAGGGGTAAGTCTCTGAATGATTGAAAATGTGACTCAACAGCACCCAACAACAGCAAAAGTGTTTTTCTTACTGCCTTCATTCTGTTCGCATGCACCATGAACAGTGCTGTGGGAGGGAAGCTTGGTGTTCATTTTTTTTTTTTTTTGGCACTTTCTGTTGGGGTCTAACCTGTACAGGGTTCACTGAGCCTCTTGGATGGAAGCCTTCTTATTTATCTTTGATAATGTTAGGGAAGTTTACTATTAGCAAATCTTCAAAACTTAGTCTCTATGCTTTTTTGGTTTGTTTCTTTCCGTTTTGGAATTCCATTCACACGTAAATTATTCCTCTTGGTAGTGTTCCACGTAATTCTTGAGCTTTTTCATTTTTCTTTCTTTTTTTCCTGATTATTCCTAAAACTAGTAATATTGCAAGGGATTTGCCTTCTATTTTGCTGATTCTTGTACTTACTCACTTTTTTTTTTTTGGTCAGTCCATTGAGTTTTGTATGTTTTTATTATAGATTATACCTATTTCTTATAATCTCTTTGAGGATCCTATACATAAGTCTTTTGAATTATTTTTAGGTAGTTTTATTTACATTTGTTTCTCAGAAAGGTTTTCTGCCACTTTATTTTGGTCACTTGCTTGAGCCATCTTGTTCTGCTTTTTTATATGATTTGATACTGTCTGCTGTCTCTGAGGCAGTGAAGTGTTAGCTTATTCATGGATTGATTGTAGGTTTGTTTGCTTTGTCCTGGTTTTTTGTTTTGCTCTGCTTTGATATATCAGGGTGGATGGGTTGGGCAGCCCCACTGGCCTCTAGTCTGGTGGCCCCGAAGTACCCAGGACCTGTCTCCAGGTGGGTGAGATAGCAGCTGTCAGTATGAATACAGGTCCCTGTTCACTGGTTGCGTGGGGTGACTGAGGGTGGATTGTCATTGGTACAACAGCATGGGACAGGTAGTAGCACTCACCAAGTGGACAGGGCAGTAGGCATGGTGGGAACGCTGCTTCTGCTTGGTGAGCAGGGGTAGGTGGCATATGAGCACAGTCTCCACCACTCACCAGGTTGACAGGCAGGAGTGAATGTCAGGAGTGTGAGATTGCAGTCCCTGCTGCTGACGGGGCTGGGTGGTGGGCACACTGCGGCAGAGACGCATGCTCTCCTCTACTCACCAGGTTGGTGGTGGATGAATGATAAGTAAATGGAAGGCCAGACGTGCTTTCTGCTACTTGCTTTGTTTCTTCTCAGTGATTATATAATCCCCTCTCTGCAAAACAGTTATCCTCCTTCCTCCTTGTGGCTCCCCATTTACATCATATTTACCACAAATGAATAAAGCAAAAACATTTGATGTAAACATACAAAACAAAAAACACATATTCATTTAAATGTCCAAATGGCACATTCTGCAAGCCAGCCTCCTACCTACAGGCACACAGCTTTGCTCAGTCCATGGGCCTACAGCTGCTCTGTCTTTCCATACCACTGCCTCTGCCACCGTCTCTGCTGTTGCCACTTTTCTAGATAGGATCTCATGCTCCACTCATGCTCTTCTTTCTTGATGGTCCTGGGATAGTCTATTCCTGAGCTGAAAGAGTAATTACTCCCTGTTTTTAGTTACACATACAATACTGAGAGATTCTTGAGTTATTTTCAGTTCATCTAGTGATTCTGAAAAGTGCGTAGGAGAATCCTTTTGGCAGACATTTTTCAAAACTAGGTAGTTAGGTGACTAATAGTGCCAGAGAATTCGGGGGAAAATATCCGTGCCCAGAAACGGAGCTACATGAAAATTCAGCACATTCCCCAGTGTAAGGCGTTATTGTATCTTCAGTTTAGACTTTGGATTGTGAGTAACTGGAGAGTAATTCAGGAGAATGGTGTCCTGTGGGCATCAACTACCACACAATGAGTAATTGCTAGTTTCTTGTATTTCTTCAAGGTGTGTGTCCCGAAATTTTTGTGTGTGTGCCAAATAAATAGAAAATTTTTCCATGAGGAAGATGGGAGGAAAAAATAAGTCATTCCCTTTGTTTTCCTCCATAGAAATTCTTTGTTTTGTGTTGATTTACTAGGCTTACTAGTCAACAGCTCAGTTTGAAATGAAGGAAAGAGAATATTATAGGAAAAGGCAAATTTAGTAAGTTTCTAGTTCAGACTGAATGTAAATGAATAAAGTGTCTTTACTGTTGTTTCTAAGTTGTCATTTAAACCTGGAACTTACTGAAACTTGGTTTTTGATGTACAAAATCAAACTACGAAACTCCTCAGTACAGACAAGTTGATTCTGACTGATAATGACCCTATGAAATACAGTAGAAGTGTCCCATAGGATTTCTAAGACTGTAAATCTGTACAGAAGCAGACAGCCTCATCTTTCTCCCGTGGAACAGCTGGTGGTTTTGAACTGCTGACCTTCAGGTTCGCAGCCCGATTCGTAACTGGGCTACCAGAGCTCCTTGCTTTGATGTATAGGAGGTTTCAAATGTTAGAATTACATAGCACCTATTTAGTGTCTCTTATGTTCAGATTAAGGTGCTTTGATTATACTGTGTATTTAGCTTGTCTGTTCAGCTTGCCCAGGCTTGATGAAAGAACTTAAGTGGTGTCTAGCTATGGCATTGAAGACACACATGGTTTCTTCACTAAGAGAAGCCTTAAGACAAATGTTTATGAACTGAAATTGTGTGTCAGAAGTTTTAGTATTCTAAAGGGAGTGTTTACACTTGGGGAGATTTGGTTTGTTCCTTTGTGTTTCCATGTCAGTGGTATCCCAATTTTGATTCAGTGTTGAGAGCAGAATGGTTTGGAGGAAACACACAGCAGTAACTGTTGGAAAAACAACAATGAATTTCTTCCTGTAAGGTACTCTTTCCTATACAATGTTAATAATATCTTTCGGAGTCTTAGTTGTTTCATGTAGAACTTTGTCAAATGTATTCTAATACCCGAAGAATACTAATAATGTTCTAGCACTTTATCACAAAACTGAGATTTAAAGGTAAAACATTAGGAAAATATAGGAATATATCTAGGAGAAACATGTTGTTGTTAAGTGAATCAGTTCCTACTTGTTAGGTGCCATCAAGTCCATACCAACTCATAGCGACCCTATGCACAACAGAACGAAACACTGCCCAGTCCTGGGCCA